AACCCTAAACCTCTAAAGCCTAAACATTAAACCTCTGAAGCCTTCGCGTCAAGTGCCATCGTCTCAAGAGAGACTGCTGTACGCGCCGGGCCGGTTCAAGCGCAGCAACAAGGCAGCTAGACTTGCGACATTCTGCAACATGGCCGAGGGTCTCTTCGAACGTGCCGCATTGGCCGCAGATGCGGCCGCCCCCAAGAACAAACGCATCAAGCTCTATAAATGGGATTCAGTCGCGGCACAGCTGCTCGAGCCATATGGCGAGAGTGTGCTCGACACTATGTCGTTGAAGCAAGTGTGGCAGGCTACCACAGATGGGAACAAGCAAGCAGCTTACCATTCCCACCTATGCGCCGACTTGCAGACCGACGCTTGGCACGTCGGCGCCGGCGTGTCCACCACGGCGGCTGCAATCGAGGCCGCGATCAAAAATTTTGACACAGAGAACATGAGGATGTTCAGCCGAGAGGACCTCTACGCCAAAGTCATAGAAGAAATCAATCAGCTGAAGCCCGTCCTGGAAAAGCTGAACGTCGGGCGAGGATCTCAGAAGATGGAAGCTGGACCGGGTGGCTTCAAAGAAGCTAAACGCCAGAAGACATCAGAGCCGGTGCAGGCCTACACAGAAGCCGAAGTTCTGGAGGCGGCACGTGCCTTCCATGCTTGGCTGAGTCGCCCTAAGTCCGCCTTTCGCTCCGCGTAAACCCTAAACCTCTGAAGCCTAAACCCTAAACCTTTAAAGCCTAAACCCTAAGCCTCTGAAGCCTAAACCCTAAACAGCAAACCGAGCCTTCGAACCAGGGTTCGGCAGATGGACGGCCATGCTGATGCGGATCGGCGCAAAGGTGCGGTTTAGGATTCGGCTTTACCTGTACCTTAAGAACCCAAAACCCTTTTTTTTGTAGGTTCTTATTATAGACCCTAACATGGGATTTATAGGGACCCTACAAAAAAAGTAGGTTTGGGGTTCTGAAGGTAGCTCCACGCACGACAATAGCAGGCTTAGACACCACAGCTGTTGGGTTATACTCCTTTCGTTTATAATTCCCTAAGGGTCCATGTACCCAAATAGTACATACATTGGCCCTAAAGTACCTATATAGGGACTACATTAAGGCTTATTAAAGCCAAAGTGGACCCTTGGGAATTAGATCGACAGATGACGTTTCGGGTTGATGGCCGCCTCAAAGTCTTGCATAGGGCGTCCAGGGTTTAGAGGACCGGGGTTTAGGGTTGGGGCTTTGGGATAGGTTTGTGATCTACCTATAGTCTTCATTGTAGTTCCTCTTTTGGGGATACAGACTATAGGTAGAGTTTCTACATATCAACTAAAGTTTGCCGCGGGAGCTGGCCTTTACTTGCAGACTTCTTTTGCCAAAGGAACTGAACGTAAGGCTTTAGGGTTTACGGTTTTGCTTTGTCTGAACTTCGCCCCAGTTGCCTAATTATCGATGGATGCCACATGTGGGGCCAGAAGAAGCTGAGGAGTGCATGTAGAACATGAGGTTTGGTCGACAGGCCGAGGCCTCGACCCTTGACCAGATAGACCGCCCTCTAGCGGCTCTAAGCAGCCCCAGGTCTAATTTAGGGTTTGGGGTTTCAGGTTACCCGAAACCCTAAACCCGACCACCCCAAACCCTAAACCCAGGAAGCTTCTACTGATTCACTAAGCCCCTAACCCTCCACGACCCTCTTGTAATTACCATAAGACTGCCTCGAGTTTCCAATACTTCAGGTCACCTCCGTGGATGCATCGCCCCATGCGGTGTGCCTGGGACGGGAAGTTCTGGAAATTTAGGGGTGATTTGTACACACATGTTTACACATGTACACATCTACAGATAGATTTATGCATGTATGCATGCATGCATG